GGGGAGGGGTCTTCAATGGGGGGGTGTCCTGCATGGTGGGGAGGGGTCGTGAATTGGGGGGGCGTCCTGCATGGTAGGGGGGGTCCCCAATGGGGGCGGGGGGTCCTGAGTGGGCGGTCCCAAATGGGGAGGGGGCGTCCCATGGACCCACACGGGGGGGGATCTGCTGTGGACCCCCTGGGGGGGGTGGGGGGATTCTGACAGACCGCCCCCCCCCCCTGAGGACCCCTCCCCAATTCCCGCAGGCGTTCGAGCTGGCCACGGGCGATTACCTGTTCGAGCCTCACTCGGGGGAGGAGTACAGCCGTGACGAGGGTGGGTGGGGCCGGGGTGGGCGTGGCCTCCCTTAAATTATGCAAATGGGCGTGGCTTCAGTGTGGGCAAGACCCCCTCAACAAGGCTGCAAAGAGGGCGTGGCCTCGGGGGGTGGTCTGGGGTGGCCTCGGGTGGGCGTGGTTTAAGGGGGTGGGTGTGGCTGAAGTGGGCGTGTCCCGACATGCCCCGCCCCCCCCGCAGACCACATTGCCCACGTGATCGAGCTGCTGGGGGAGATCCCCCGGCACGTGGCGCTGGGCGGCCGCTACTCCCGGGAATTCTTCAACCGGAAAGGTGAGGGCGGGGCCGGGGGCGGGGCCAAGCGCTGGGTGTGGTCCTGAAGGTGGGGTTATGGAAATGAGGGGTGCCACGCCCACAGGGGGGTGTGGTCATGGGGAAGGGGGCGTGACTTGAGCGCTGAGGGTCATGAAATGGGTCCCATGGCCCCGCCCATGAGGGGAGGGGCCTGTGCTGACCACACCCATTGGAGGTGATCCCACGGGATTGGGGTGTGTCCTGACCACACCCATTGGAGGTGATGCCACGTGATTGGGGCGCGTCCTGACCACACCCATTGGGGGCGGGGCCACCTCACGATTGGGGCGCTTGCTGCACGTGACCCGGGGAAGGGGCGTGTCCTGACCACACCCATTGGAGGTTATCCCACGTGATTGGGGCGCGTCCTGACCACACCCATTGGGGGCGGGGCCACCTCACGATTGGGGCGCTTGCTGCACGTGACCCGGGGAAGGGGCGTGTCCTGACCACACCCAGGAAGGGGCGGGGCCGCACCATTGGGGCGCGTCCTGACCCCGCCCCTTTGCAGGTGAGCTGCGGCACATCCGGCACCTGCGGCCCTGGGGGCTGCGGGCGGTGCTGCAGGAGAAATACGAGTGGCCGCGGGGGCCGGCGGCCGCCTTCGCCCGATTCCTGCGGCCGATGCTGGCCTTCGAGCCCGGCCGCAGGGCCACGGCCCAGCAGTGCCTGCAGCACCCCTGGCTCCGCCCCTGACACGCCCACGGACACGCCCGCTGCCGCGATAAACCACGGCCACGGCGTCCGTTGGGCTCCTGGAAGGGTTTTTGGGGTTCTCTGGGGGTTTTTTGGGGTTCTGCGCAAGGTTTGGGGTGGTCGAAACGGCCGCGGCCTGGCAGTGGCTGCAGCACCCCTGGCTCCGCCCCCCTGACACGCCCCTAGACACACCCAGAGCCACGCCCAGTGCCGCGGTAAAGCACGGCCTCGACGCAGCGCTCTGGGGGGGTTTATCGGGGTCCTGGAATGATTTTTGGGGCTCTCTGGGGGTTTTTTGGGGTCCTGGAGGGTTTTTTGGGGTGGTCCAAACGGCCGTGGCCCGGCAGTGCCTGCAGCACCCCTGGCTCCACCCCTAACCCCGCCCACCACCGCAATAAACCACGGCGCGGCGCTCCTGGTGGTCCTGGGGTGTTTATTTGGGGTCCTGGGGGGGTTGGGGTGGTCCTGGGGGGGTTTGGGGAGGTCCTGAGGTGTTTTTGGGGGTCCTGGGGTGTTTTTGGGGGTCCCTGGAGTGTTCTGTGTGTGGTCCTGTGAGGTGCCAGAGGTGTTTTGGGGTCCCAGGGGTGGTTTGGGGGTCCCAGGGGTGTCGGCTGTGTGGTCCTGAGGGGTCCTGGGGTGTCCCAGGGGTGTTTTGGGGTCCCAGGAGCTCTTTGTGTGTGGTCCTGGGGGTGTTTGTGGTCCTGGGGGTGTTTTGGGGGTCCCGTGGGTGTTTTTTGTGTGATCCTGGGGAATCCCGGAGGTGTTTCGGGGTCCTGATGTGTGTTGGGGTCCCTCGGGGTGCATCGTGGTCCTGGAGGTGTTTCTGGGGGTCCCGGTGGTGCCAGGTGTGAGGTCCTGGGGGGGGTCTGGGGGTCCTGGGGGGCCTCTGGGGGTCCCGGGGGTGTTTCTTGTGTGGTCCTGGGGGGTCCTGGAGGCGTTTTGGGGTCCCTTTGGTGCGCATCGTGGTCCTGGAGGTGCTTTTGGGGGTCCCTGCGGTGCCGGGTGTGAGGTCCAGGCGGGGTTTTGGGGGTCCCGGGGGTCTCCTGGAGGCTCTGGGGGGGTCCCGGGGGGGTCCCGGGGGTCTCAGGAGCGGGGCAGGTGGGAGATGATGCTCTGAACCGCGCCCGACGTCGTGCCCTGGCCGCCGATGTCCGGCGTGTGCGTCTGCGGGGGGCGGGGCCACGTCAGGGCCACGCCCACCGGGTCTGGGGCCACGCCCAGAGTTTTGGGGCCACGCCCCTCGGGGGTGGGGGCGGGGCTTACCCGGGGGTCGTCCAGCGAGGCCAGCACGGCCTGGCGGATGGTGGAGGCGTGGCCGTGCAGCCTGGGTGGGGGCGGGGCAAGAATCGGGCCACGCCCACATCAGCGAGCCACGCCCAACGTCAGGAGTGAGGCCCCGCCCCCAAACTCAGCCCCTCCCATCGGGTCCCGCCCAGCTGGGCCACGCCCCTAAGCCCCGCCCCTTTTGGGAGAGACCCCACCCCTCCGTGACCCCCTCCAGATGTTCCCAGATTCCCTCCAGATGTTCGAAATCAACTCCAGGTGTTCCCAAACTTCTCCCAGCCCCTCCCAGATGTTCCCAAACCTCTCCAGCTGTTGCCCCGCCCACCTGAGGTGATCCAGCATCATGCAGGCCGCCAGCAGCGCCGCCGTGGGGTTGGCGATGTTGCGGTTGGCGATGCTTTTACCGGTGTTCCGCGTGGCCTGCGACGGCCCCAGTGCTCCCAGTCACATCCCAGTCACCTCCCAGTGCTCCCAGTCACCTCCCAGTGACCTCCCAGTGCTCCCAGTCACATCCCAGTCACCTCCCAGTGCTCCCAGTCACATCCCAGTCACCTCCCAGTGCTCCCAGTCACCTCCCAGTGCTCTCAGTCACCTCCCAGTGCTCCCAGTCACATCCCAGTAACATCCCAGTGCTCCCAGTGCCCCTCTGGATCCCCCAAACCCCCTCAAAATCTCCCAAGCCCTTCCTGGATTCCCCCAAACCCCTCCAGGACCCTCCCAAGGCCCCCCAAACCGCCCCTAGAACCCCCCCAAACTCCCCCCAAACCTTTCCAGGACCCATCCAGGCCCCTCCAGGACCCCTGAACCATCCCTGGAGCCCCCCCAAACCCCCCCAGACCCCCCCCAGGTCCCCCAGACCCCCCCCAGCCCCCCCAGGCCCCCCCCAGGCCCCCCCAGACCCACGGTTTCGAACACGGCGTAGTCGTGGCCGTAGTTGGCGCCGGGCACGAGCCCCGGGCCCCCGACCAGCCCGGCACAGACGTTGTTGACGATGTTCCCGTAGAGATTCGGCATCACCATCACATCAAACTGCTGGGGCCGGGACACCAGCTGCTCCCCGAGGGGTTACTGGGGTTACTGGGAGCACTGGGAGGGAACTGGGGAAACGGGATGGGCACTGGGAGGGTACTGGGAGTGCTGGGAGAGCACTGGGGGGACTGGGAGGGTACTGGGAACACTGGGATGGGCACTGGGAGCACTGGGAGGGCACTGGAGGAGCACTGGGATTGTACTGGGAACACTGGGAGCACTGGGATAGGCACTGGGGGAGCACTGGGAGAGCACTGGGAGCACTTGGATGGCACTGGGAGCACTGGGATAGGCAGTGGGAGAGCACTGGGGGGACTGGAAGAGTACTGGGAGAGCACTGGGAGGGCACTGGGAGGGACTGGGAGGGCACTGGGAGCACTGGGATGGCAATGGGAACACTGGGAGGGGACTGGGAGCACTGGGATGGCAATGGGAACACTGGGAGGGGACTGGGAGGCACTGGGATGGGCACTGGGAGCACTGGGAGAGCACTGGGAGGGCACTGGGAGGGCACTGGGGGGACACTGGGAGGAACTGGGAGCACTGGGCGGGGTTGGGGGTATTTTGGGGAGGGGTCCCACCTGCATGGTGGTGTTGTCCACGATCATGCTGCGGAAAGTGATCTCGGGGTACTCGGCCGCCACCTCCTGACAGCACTGCAGGAACAGCCCATCCCCCAACTTCCTGGGGGGGGAAAGGGGGGTTCAGAGCACCCCAAAAAACCCGGGATTCTTTTCCAAGACCCCCCCCCAAACCTCCGAAAACAACCCCCAGGACCCCCTGGAGCCACTAAAGCCACCCCCAGGACCCCCCAGATCTCCCCCAAACCCTCCCAGGACCTTTCCAAAACCCCCTCGAGCTGCTTAAACCACCCCCAGGACCCCCCCCAACCCCCCCCCACCACCCCACAACCCCCCCGCGCACTACCCCACCCACCC